ATCACTACTGTTGGTTAGCCAGCAGCTCTATGAATGAGCCTCTGTCACATTGTCACATTCAAGATGTATCAAAAAAAACTGTCTACTAGGCCATGAAGCCATGAAGGGTAGCATTAGGTCCAATATGTGTTGATTCATGTTCACGCAGATTCCTTTCTGCTTGTGGAAGTTGGTTAATTTTTCTGGTTATGATATGAATATTGTTACATTTTCCTTGATAGTATATCATCTGCTTGATGATTTTGCATCTCAGCATTATACCCCCCTTCTCCCAGCAGCCAGGGCCTCCCAGTCTTCCTCAGCCACACCAGGGTTCACTGCAACCTCTACTCAGCTGGACAGGGTGCAGCCATCTTTCAAGAAATCTAGATTTTGAAGCAAAATTTCAGAGCAAAACTTTCACAGGGACTTTCTGGCATAATTTGACCAGGTCATGGTTGTTTTTTTCTCTGTCTTCCAGTCTGCGTGGTTCCTGGCCAGCTGTCACAGCATGAGTTAAGAGGGTTGTTTGCTTAGCATGAGTGGAGGCCCCCACAGGCTACTTCCCACCCCAGGGGGACTTGCGGGCAGCATGGGGGGGGTTGAGGGGAGCTACTGAACCGTGGACATCAGACCAGTCCATGCGCAGGCCAGGAGAGGGCACAAACTTCACAGCACAGCGAAACTCCACTAGTTTCTTCAGAAGTCTTTGACAGGTGCTTTCATTTTCATAGTTTTGCTTCCTCTATTCTTGGCTTGTACAGTGACCTCAATGTCCCCTGACCATGGAATCACATGCCAGTATCTACTCTGGAGTTTGAGCTTTTCGAAACCCCTACTCTTCGGCAATAGCTGGTTTGTGGCCTTTGTCAGCAGTGGGCAACAGTCTTCCTGCCACTTTCCAGTCATGTCCACGTGATTCCAATCTAAAATACATTTTTTGGGGAGCCCTTGATGGTTACCTCCAACAGAAGAAGCTATGCTAGGCAGATTCTCCTGAGACAGGCCATTATATGCTAGGAAGAGCCTTTGTTGAGTACTTTTAGCATTTACAAAGCCTCTCCAAAGTCAGTCTTTCATTTCACCTGCTCAGCAATGTCGGGGGTGGGTGTTTCAAGTCCATTTTACAGATGAGATCTGCCGCTGAGTGGGAGAATGGTGGGGTAGGAAGTGTGGTTAAGGAAGAGAACCAGCATTTATGAAGTATCTTTCTGGGGCTAACACGGTGCTGGGTGCTTTATATATGTTTGATCCTTTAACACACTTCTGAAGCTTGTAGCATTTTCATGCTATTTTCTTTTTTAGGTGAGATAATAGCTGAGGATCAAATAGGCACAGCAGTAAATGGACGAGCAGAACTAAAACAATGCCATCTCATGGTTTGTGCTTATGCCCATCACTACTTAATCAGTTATCTTTTTCTGAGCAGCATTTTACCTCCAAACTTAGTGGTTTAAAACAACTACAGTCATGTATGATCTCACGGTTTCTGTGAATCAGGGATTTGGGAGCAGTGAAGCTGGGCTGTTCTGACCTATGGTCTCTGACGGAATCACTGTGAGGTGTCCACTAGGGGGCGCTGTCATCTGAAGACTTGACAGGCTGGTGCATCTGCTTTTGAGGTGGCTCCCTTGCATGGACAGCAAGTTGGCGCTGCCTCTTGGCAGAAGGCCTGTTTCCCTTCATCTGACCTGCTTGAACACCCTCTCCACATAGTGCTGGCTTCTCCCAGAGTGAGTGACACAAAAGAGACCAAGGCAAAAGCTGCAATGCCTTTTAGGACCTTGCCTTGGACACCACACAGTCACTTCTGCAATATCCCTCCCAGTGGTTACACGGGTCAGCCCTGTGCAGTACAGGAGGGTCAGCAGATGTTAAGGTCACTGTGCAGGAAAGGGTTCAGAGAGGAAGCTCAGGTGTGTGACCACCAGGAGCAGGGATTGCTGGAGCTGTCTTAAAGGCTAAGTATAACACTGAAATACAACACTGCTCACCCAGCCAACGAAAATGGATGTCAGCATTGGCTGCTGAAGAACACTCCTTACAGGAATAGCATTTTCATAGTGTTAACTGGGTTCCAGGATCTGACAGTGTGACGCTTTTTAGGTGTTCCTAATTGTATAATCAAAATTGGACTCAGGGGTTTCTTCCCACCAATAATGTGAACATTGGAAAGGATTAACATAAAGAGATAAGATTTGGATTTTGGAGTATTCCATGAATTAGAAATTTTAAGCATTCGGTATATGTTAAAAAAAAAAAAAAAAGATTTCGCCCTTTGAGTCCAGGAGTTTGAGAGCAACCTGGGCAACACAGCAAGAACCTACCTCTACAAAAAATAAAAATTAGTTGGGTGTGGTGGTGTGTGCCTGTGGTCCCAGTTACTAGGGAGGGTGAAGCGGGAGGATTGCTTGAGCTGAGGATGTCAAGGCTGCAGTGAGCTATGATGGTGCTTGTGCACTGTAGCTTGGGTGACAGAGTAAGACTGTGTCTCAAAAAAAAAGCTGGGCATGGTGGCTCATGCCTGTAATCCCAGCACTTTGGGAGGCTGAGGTGGGTAGATTACCTAAGGTCAGGAGTTTGAGGCCAGCTTGGGGAACATGGTAAAACCCGGCCTCTATGGAAAATACACAAATCAGCTGGGTGTGGTGGCATGCACCTGTAATCGCAGCTACTTGGGAGGCTAAGGCAGGAGAATTGGCTCGAATCCGCGAGGCAGAGGTTGCATCGAGCTAGATCACACCACTGCACTGCAGCCTGGGTGACAGACTGACTCCTTCTCAAA